AGGTATGGACCTCTGGTTCTAGGCCTAAAATAATTGTATTTGAATTATAATCACACACAAAAAAGTTAACCATACACAATTTTCTTTAGCAAAAGCAGAAGTCCAAGTCAGAGTTAAATTACATTAACATTGAGAAAGGAGAATTAAAGCAGTACTATAGGAGTCCATTGGTCTCCATGGCCTACATCCCCTATTAAGGGAATCGTAGGTCATAGCTCCATGCAATCATGTTCTATATGAAGGGATTCCACCTGCAACCAAAGACAGGCTCAGAAATGGGCACCTTGCCCTAAATATGATATAGACCGTCCATCAGCCATCTTGGGAATCTGAATTGGGAACCCTGGAGAAATGCAACCAGTGAGCAGTGGAAATTGAAACCAAAAGATCCTAAGGAATTGCAGAATTCGAAACTCATTAATGACCACTATATCATTAAAAGTCCAAGCAGGAAACAGAAGACACACATGGTTCAATGGAAGAGACTTTAATCAAGGCCTATTTGTAGAAGTGCAGGCAAGGTTAAGAGAATAAACAAGGGATGGTAAGGCCACACAGAGTAGTAGCAAAAGCCATTACTACCCTTGCCTTGAAGGGACAAGAGGCAAAAAGAGTGTTACTGGAGCTCAGCAAGGCCTAGAAATGCAGACAGTCCCACAGCAGGAGCTGTAGCCTTGGAGAGATGAGAAGTGGAGTGAGAGATAAGGAAGAAACACCCTAACTTCCTACTCTCCTCTTGTCCTCTGGTGACTCACTCATTAGCCAAACCCGAAGGGAAGCCAGCCATTATGGGAGTCCTGATATCGGTCAGCCCCCACAGCATAGAAAAGAGCAGAGGAAAGTGCGTGCATCTGGAAACCAAACAGACCAATCAGAAAGGCACATGCAGATCAAAGTCATGAAGGATGTGAAGAACACTGGTAGAAGGGGGAAAACTGTCCTGAGAGAAGCAAATGATTTGAGAGTAAGGTGGAGAGAGTAGCAGGCCCTACTGCTGCCTTGATTCTGATGCCTTTTCTGATTCAAGTTCCATCCACTCACTTCACTGCAATATCCCAACCCACCCCGCAGAGCTTCAGTCCCTTTAATTGGCCTCTCTTCCTTGCAACCATAAAAGCTCATGTAAACCAAACATGATCAAAAGAAAACATGTACTTCATCTCACTGTTTCCCATTTAAAGGGACTTTTTTGATAACAAATAAGCATCGTTTTCAAAAGACAGATGAAGGAATGTGCATGTTTATAGGGAAGTAGTAAGGAGATAAGCAGAAGAGATGAGAAAGCCCACCCAGAATTTACACAATGCCTTTTCTTAGCAGTAAGTCTTCAAAGAAGATTCAAATGAATGGAATCGACATGAAATAATAACAATAGTAATAATGCTAAAAATTTTCTTCGACTATAATTTGAGTTTCTATCACTTAAAAAATATCATATATTCAAAATCTTACTGGTTGGTGACAAATACACTATGTTATAAATCCCTGAGCTAGAGTATCTGTTTGTATATATAAATCGACTAGATTACATTTTAGCTATAACAGATAATTCATTGATTCTCAGCCCTGATTACATATTAGAATTATCTGGACATCTTTTTAAAAATATGCATGCCTAGCCCCACACCAAACTAAATGAATTGAAATCCCAAGGGGTGAGCGCGGTAAAAGGTCATTACAGTATATTATATTCTAAACTTAAGAAAGCGCTTATAGATTGTTTAGACCAACTTGCTCATTCTATAATTGATAAACTAAGGCCCAGAGAGTCCTGGTCCTCACCTAGTCAGTCGTACTGACACTAAAGGACAAAGCCAGGCCTAGAACCCAAAAGTCCTGTGTCCATCCGGGCTCTTTTCACCCTGATTCACTTATTTGTTAATATATTTATTCAGGAAATAGTCTGTGGACCCATTACATGTTAAGCACTAGATAATAACACCTGTTGCCATTATAGAAGATTGTTGGAAAGAATTCAAATGTCTATCAACTGGTGAATAAATAAACAATACAGTGAAATACTATTCGGGAATAAAAAAAGAGCAAACTACTAATACAATCAACAAAGTGGATGAATCTCAAAAACATAATGCCAAGGAGAAGAAACCAGGTGCCAAAGACAACATATTGTATGATTACATTTACATGAAATGTTCAGAAAAGGCAAACCTGCAATGACAGAAAGTCAGTTAGTGGCTCCTTGGGGCTAGGAGAAAAAGCAGCGATTGACAGAGAATGGACAGGAAGGTCTTTTGCAGGGTGATGGAAATGTTCTAAAACTGCATTGTGGTAATAGTTGTACAACTCTATAAATTTACTAAAAATCATTATGTTGTACACTTTCTATGCATAAATTTTGTGGTATGTAAATTGTAGCTCAATAAAACTTTTAAAAAACCCCTACTGTAATTTACTGAACACCATAACAAGAATTTGTGCTAGGATTTAAACAGTACTGTCCTTAGCGGTATGCCAGTAAATTTTTAAAAAACAGAATATTCAGTACATGATTTATAAATAATGATAAAATATACATGACTCTATTGTAAATTCCATACACTCATGCTTCAGTGTGACTTGCTGTTTATTGGAAAATCAGTCATGAGTTTTTATAATTATTTCACCAACAATAGTGTCACAAATTCAAACTGTAAATAAATCCTTGATATCTACCCAATTCAGCAAAGAATTTGCTTATAATATTGAAAAAGAGTATAGTTCCAACATGAATTTTGGCTGATATTTTTGTTTACATGGAGTAAGACAAAAAGAAACAATGAAGATTTATGCCAGAACTTCACTTGTTCTTCAATGACATAAGCAATGTCTTTGTTGAAATTGTGATAGTTTTTAAATACTGAAAGAATATTTATTCAATTTTGGGGGCCTATTGACAATGTGACAGCCACAGACATGAAACATTTTAAGTTTAATCTTCATTAACAACTTTACTATTACTTTCTTAAATCTGGAAACAATCAACAATAAGTAAAGCCCTGCTTTGTAGCATTTGACAATTTCTGTGGTGTAACCATATCCACCAAGGTGACATCACTGAATGTAGAGTTGGGAAGAGATGTGCAGTATCACACCACTGAATAATATTTCCAAATATAGATACAATAGGCATAATCTTATAAGAATAGCTAATAGTGAAATAATAAAACAGTTAGAAAGTTATAAGTTTTGGATGTGGTTCCATAGTGTAGCAGTTAGCACGTCTGCTTTACACACAGAAGGTCTTGGGTTCATACTTCAGTGGAACCATGGTCCATGGTCTACTGCCATGCCACCCTGATCAAGCTGGATGTCTGATCTCAGAAGCTAAGCAGGGTCGGGCCTGGTTAGCACTTGGGTGGGAGACCACCTAGGAAGACCAGGTGCTGTAGGCATAAATAATAATAAGAAGAAGACGAAAGAAGAAGACGAAAGTTTAAGTTTTGTTTTTTAACCTGTTTTTAATATAACTAAAATGTTAGTTTATGTAATTTAATTTTTAATAATAGCAATGTTTAACTTCTAGCTCATTAAATTCCTAAAATTTTAACAACTGGCTGTCAACACCCAACTCTAGGACACCACTGTCTGCCTGTTTTGCCAATGATAGAACTGAAGCTCAGAGAGACTGTCACTAACTAGCCCGGTCACGCAGGACAGGGCCACCCACGCCGTCTGCCTAATTCCAAATCTCCCTTCCACTGTACCTCTCCTTAAAATGTAGCTAAATAGGAGGTGAACACAGGATGCAATATATGTGACTTACTGTTAAATTGTATACTTGAAACGCTGGATTTTATTAACCAATATCACTATTTAAAAAAATTAATTAAAAAAATAAAATGTAACTAAGGATCTACCCACACATCAACATCCAAAAACCATAATATGAATGGATGTATCATTTGTTGGACAGCCACTGCTTTCCTTTCCAAGAAATGAAATGGGAAACCTGACTAGAAGAGTAAGGAATAAACGGGAGAATGTCTACTTGACAGTTGTGCTGGCAGGACCTGTTCCCTCCTGGGCTTTAGCACCTCAAGATTTAGCAAGCAGCAATTACACAACTGGTAAAAAGGATAGGTCATTCATTGTTTTTTAAACTTTTGTCACTGTTCCTCTTCACACATTTTCACTACATTTAATGAAAATGTTATTTAAGATGTACTTTAGAGGTCATAGTATTAAAAATCAAATAAATACATTTCCAAGAGAGAACACATTTACTAAGAGTAAATCATTTAGTTCTCAACACAAATGCAACTTGGCCCCGGGTCCCGCCCACTTCTTCCCCGCTATACCATTTTCAAAGAGGCCGTGCCTGCCTTCGCCGACTGCTATCTAGCGGTGCCAGGTTGTGACACTACCACATACCAGCTTCGCGTCTCCCATTTCAAGCGGTTTGCGGCAAAAATTATAATCAGCGTCCAAAGGCCACAAGTCATAAGCTCGCTCAGGAGCAATCTTAATTTACACTGTGGAGTTCCAGTACAAAAGTGCTTTGAAACAGTTTAGACGTGGCGGGTGCCAAGGGCACACGGAACCCAGGCAGCACCGCCTCCAGCCGCAGGCCGCCGCGGCCCGGCCCGCACTTGCGCACTCAGGGCCACGGGTGGGCGCCCGGCCCCGCCCCTCGGAGGCGCCCGGCTCCCTGACGAGAACCCGGCGTAGAGACGCTCACGCGCGAGCTGTGGCGGCCGCGCAGGCGCAATCG